TTGATCTAAATATATGTTTTTATTTTCTTAGATCAATACAAATATTTCGTAGTCAAAGGGACGCACAGGTACCCCGGAGTAAATCATCAAATATTACTTGGATCAAAGTGCAGGTACAAAATTAGTTGCTTATAATAATAATGTTACTTGATAAAATTACACGACAACTATAAAATATATTCTGTTTTTCTATGCAGTGTCCGTTACAGAATAACGATGTAGATTGCGGATACTTTTGCTTGAGGTTTATGAAAGAAATCCTTCATAAAAATCAAGTAGAGATTCCAAGCACGGTATGGATTTATAACTTAGAATAATTTTGTATGATTTCTACATTTAATAACATCATGCATATACTGAAGTAATAATTTCTTATGTAGTACTTTGATGACCTCTATACTATGTCGTACACGAAAGTTCAAGTGGAAGAAGTCAAAGAGGAAATATGTCAATTTTATGTTGAAAACAGATTATTCTGATGGGTATGAATAAAATATTATTGTACGTGTTAGTTTGATTGTGTTGGAGCCTTTAATATTGTTTGTTTAATTGACCGTGTTGTTCATATTCATACTTTGCAGGATGACGACCGTGTCGGTGGAGCATTATTTTCGATGTAATTATATATGATTTAGTTATGGTTACAAATGTATATAAGGATTGAATAATGGTTACAAATGTATATATACTTTGTATGTGATTTAGTTACATATGTATATAAGGATTTAGTTATGGTTACAAATGTATTATATGGTATACCGGTTTCTGTTAATATAATACCGGTTTCTGTGAATATTATAAGGATTGAATTACAGGTTAAATTATTGGACCAAAAAAAAATTACAGGCCGCACAGGGAACCTCAAATTATAGGTTTCACTTTAAAAAATTTGTATGAGCTACGAAAGCGCTTTTGGCTAAAAAGCGCTTTCGTAGGCAGGATAAATAAAAAAAAAAATTAAATAGCAACCCCCTACCAAAGCGCTTTTTATGGAAAAAGCGCTGTGAAAGACCCCCCTATCAAAGCGCTTTTTCCATAAAGCGCTGTAAAAACCATGATAAATAAAAAAAAAAAATTAAATAGAAACCCCCTATCAAAGCGCTTTTTATGGAAAAAGCGCTGTGAAAGACCCCCCTATCACAGCGCTTTTTCTATAAAGCGCTGTAAAAGCCATGATAAATAAAAAAAAAAAATTATATAGAAACCCCCTATCAAAGCGCTTTTTATGGAAAAAGCGCTGGGAAAGACCCCCCTATCAAAGCGCTTTTTCCATAAAAAGCGCTGTAAAAGGCCTGATAAATAAAAAAAAAAAATTTAAATAGCACACCTATCAAAGCGCTTTTCATAAAGTGCTGGGAAAGACCCCCCTATCAAAGCGCTTTTTAAGGAAAAAGCGCTGTGATAGGTCCACCTACGACAGCGCTTTTGGCCAGAAAAAAGCGCTTTCGTAGCCTACGCCAGCGCTGGCTACGGCAGCGCTTTTAAGCGCTTTTAAAGGGCAAAAAAAAGCGCTGTGAAAGCCCATTTTCGTAGTAGTGATCCCTCAAAACCACAAGTGAAGAAACTCCGTCAAGTCCACAGAAGCATGTTTCCCTCCTATCCACCCATACACCAAAATATATGTTGGTCTAAGTGTTGATCTCCTCTCAAGTGGGTCAGTAAAAAAAATCCTCAGACGCCTCTTTCTTTACAAATACTCCGACACGTCAAAAATATTAAACAAGACATTCATAACAAGGTCATATCGGTATTTAAAGCTTGGAAGCTCCCTACAATGAATCGTGTGCTCCTCAAATATATCCAAACATACCTTACAACAAACAAAACAAACATCATCAATAAAAAAATAAAGAAATCATAAGACGGTATCTTAAGATACTACAATATCTTTTTAACCAATATTTATCTTTAACTAATATTTATATTTTTTTATTATATTATTTTATATTCGTATTTAATTATATTCTAATTAGATATTATAGAAATTAAAATTTACTAAAAAAAAAAAAGTTAGAGAACCCTAATTCTTTCTTATTAATATATCTTTACTTAAAAAAAACTAACTTCAAACTTGTACACGCCATTGTCAATTACACGAGATGGAAGGGTGAAAGACTAACAACGGATTAATGTAACATATATCAAACACTTAAGGAATTTTAATTAAATTTGTTAACTATTACAATTTTTTTTTTTAACTTACTCTTAAACATATATCTTTAACATTATGGAATAAGACAATTTGACTATTTCAAACGCCAAATAATCAAGTCTACTTGATGATTTGATTATTGTCCAAATAAACATGTGTCTAGAGCTCTAAATTTTAAAAAATTTACTATAAAAACTTAAAGTCATATTTATTTAATATACACAATAATAGGAGAAAAAACAATTGAAGTTGTGATTTGATCTTTATATCTTTAATAAAAAATAATATATACCAAATTAAATTATTAACAAAATTAAAAAAAAAATGCAGAGTTTTTTTTTTTGGTATTTTAAGTTCAGAAATTTGAAAATCTTAATATCTCTTATAACATATCAAACATTTCAACAATTTTTTTTAATATTTACTGAGATTAAAGGAATGAAGTAGTATTACATTATTATTTAATGAAATTATAACATTTAATTATATTATATTAATATTTTAAAATTTAAAATATGATTTGAGAAATACACGTATGTGATTAATTGATTTACACTACTATTGTATATTTTTTTCTCATATTTAATTTGAATTTACAAAACATAATACACATCTTTTTATGTGTTAATTACATTTTAACTATTGGTAGAATTTTATGAACCTTCCAAGTCTCTTTCCCTTCTAAAGACGAGTTCACACAAAATACTTTTATATAGTACACCTTTCTAAAAACAGATACACTTTTATCCTAACCAATAAAATTATATTATTACATACACATCAAGTATTAATAATTGGAACCCTAAAAAAACACAGTTAAATTTAAATACGCAACTCTATAGTTTAACTTTGGAAGTATTACAAAAACGGAACGTAGTGTATAAGTAGAGTAACCTGATGAATTAAATTAAATTAATTATGTAAATTGACATTGATGTAATGTCATGTAGTGGTAAGTTGCTATTGCCAACTCATATATGTCTCCATGTTTATGCAAGCTAGGTAACAAATACTTATGAGCTGTATTTAATTTAATTTTCTAGACTATAGACTAGTATATTATAAAATAATAATAAAAAATATTAATATGCTAGTGGTAGTGAGTGACGGTGGTCCAATCAAAAGTCTTTATAACACAATTTTACTTGAGTTTAATACTATTTAAGTATAACGCAAAGTGAAAGGAAAATGATGTGTTTTCTTTTCCATTATAGATTACAGCTCATACATATATTCAGCCACAAGATTTCACCCGAGGAAAATAATTTTCATTCCATGCATATATTTACAAAAAATAGTACATGGTTTATTTATTGACTGCCTTAGTCAACAAAGTTGTTTTTTTTGTCCATGTAGTAATTAATTTAGGTATGTCAGATAAATAACTTATTGTCATAACAGAAATAAAATAAATATTTTTTATTTTTCAAGTCTATTGATAGAAATTCCTTGTTAGAAAATAAGATGTGGCGAGATTAAATTCATGTATTTGTATTTTATATTTGATATTGTGTCACGAATTTAAATTCATATTACTGTTTTTAAAATCACGTCACAAGTTAAAATTCACGTCTATGTTATTATATCACTGAGTTTAAACTGAAATTATATCACAAGTTCAAATTCAAGCTTATGATATTATGTCACGAGTTCTGACTCACGTTTTTGTATTTGATATCTTCACACGGATATTGATTATACCGATATCATTTTATATATTCAATATATTTATAATAAAGAATGAATAAGACAATAATATAAATGAGTTTAAGTTAGTATTAAATATTATAAAAGAAGAAGAAGAAAACAATAAGTAAAGTGAGAAAAGTTGATGGTATTTGGAGTTTTATAGAAGCCATTACTTTCTAAAGAAGCATCTAATTCCCAAAATCTTAGGCTCCGAAACCACCACACTACCACCACCAAACACTCTCTTTTCCTCCGTCCAACCACCGCCAAATCTCATTCCAGATCTCTCATTCACCGCGAAACAAACCTCTTCCATTTATTATTCATTTATTATTTATTTTTCCTCCGGTAAGTCCATTTCACTCTCCGTTCTCCTCATTCTTCTTCTCTTCTCTACTCAATCGCTCAATGCTGTTATCAACTTCCCAAGTTTTCATTTCGATTTTCTTCATCCTTCAGCAATTTCAATCCGATTCTTTTTCCTAAATTAGAATCAATGAATTCATATACAATCTTCAATTTCACTTCATTCCTGAAAATAATCGATACCGATTTTTTCATTATATATTATTTTCCACCTCTCATTTTTTTTTATTCATTTCTTTCGTTTTCGTTTTAAAAAAAATTTAGTACTAATTTCGTCGTTAATATTATCTAATTTGGATCTAATTTCGTTGTTTTAATTAATGAATAATTATTTAATTATGGTTTTATAATTTTTGGATGATATACAGAGTGTGAGGTGAAGTGGTTAGATCTTGAAGATTGCAATTAGTGTAGAATATAATTGGTTTTTAATGTTTAATACTATGGCTCACACTTTGAATGTATTGGTACAAATATAGTAAGAAAGGGACCCAAATAATAATATATGGTTACCAAATTATAGGCAATTCCACAATCTGGGGCCTTCTCTGTTGTTGCGTTTCACTGTTTTCTTTTTGTGTGTGAGTGTTTACTTTTTCTACCACCACCACCGACACTTAGAATTGTAAGTGCATGTAATCATTTCTTATGAAAAATATGGAATTCGATGAGTTTATTGGTGAAAAGGAATTAAGTATTAGCTGTTTTTGTTTTTTGTTTTTTTTTAATACTTTTTTGAGTTTTATTTATTTATATTTGTTTGATTTGTTCTACAAGGTGTTTGTGATTTGAAATGGACCGAAGGTGGCCTTGGAAGAAAAAATCATCTGATAAAACTGTGCTTGACAAAGTAGCTGCTGAATTGGATTCTGCTGGTGTCTCTAATCAGGAAAATCAGGTAAATGTTTATTGGCATTTTGCATAAGCATAAGAATGGTTTGAATTGAAGTGTTTTTTCATTTGGATGCTAAGTTCACGTTTTGAACTATTTCTTGTGTTTTTGTTAACATTTTATATGCAAGTTTCTTATTTTTCTGCTATGGCATTTTTAATCGCCTGTTTTTGGTTAGCATAGCACACTAGACGTGATTCTCTCCTCCTCCTCCTCCTCCTCCTCGTCTTTACATGACTTTGTGTTAAGAATTTGAACTTCGATAGTTGGATTGAAAACTTTACTTGGTTGGATCAGGCTGCTCACTTTAGAGAGTAAAGTGAGTGATATCAACTATTGATAAACAAATCAATGTTGATATTATATGCACATGCATAACAAATCATTGGTAGTTAAGATAACTATTGACTTTCTCACTTTAGAGGAGCCAAATGCTACCCGACTAATATTTTCCATGGTCTTGGTTTTATTGATTCAACAATATGATTATGTTTTATTTATTTTTGTTTTCTAATTTTTTTATGCTGTTGCTCTTGCTTGTGCAAACAGGATGTTTATAAAAAGCCGAACTATGTCCAAATCTCTGTAGAGTCATATTCACATCTGACGGGTTTGGAAGAACAAGTGAAGTCATATGAAGAAAAGGTAGAGACACTTGAGGATGAGATTGCAGAATTAAATGAAAAACTATCAGCAGCAAACACTGAGATAAATACCAAGGAAGGTTTGGTAAAACAACATGCTAAAGTAGCTGAAGATGCTGTCTCAGGTATGGTTCTTTAATGTAAAAAAAGTTCCCTGCTATGTAAAGGGCTTCCTTTTTCTTTTTTTTGAGCTAAAATTCTATTCAAATTCTGCAGGCTGGGAAAAGGCAGAAGCAGAAGCTTTGGCCTTGAAGAACCATCTAGAATCTGTCACTCTTTCAAAACTTACTGCTGAGGATCAGGCGTCGCAGTTAGATGGTGCTCTTAAGGAGTGTATGCGACAGATAAGAAACCTGAAAGAAGAACATGAACTGAAAATACAGGATGTCGTCCTTGCAAAAACCAAGCAATTGGACAAGATTAAAGGTGAGTTTGAGGCTAGGATACGGAACTTTGAACAGGAACTCCTCAGGTCTGCTGCTGATAATGCAGCTCTGTCAAGGTCCTTACAGGAACGTTCTAACATGCTAGTCAAACTAAGTGAAGAAAAAGCTCATGCTGAGGCTGAAATTGAGCATCATAAGAGCAACGTAGAATCATGTGAAAGAGAAATCAATTCACTTAAATATGAGCTTCATGTTATTTCCAAAGAGCTTGAAATTCGTAATGAAGAAAAGAACATGAGTATGAGGTCTGCAGAAGCTGCTAACAAGCAGCATGCAGAGGGTGTAAAAAAAATTGCCAAGTTAGAGGCAGAATGCCAAAGGTTACGTGGTCTAGTACGGAAAAAGTTACCTGGTCCTGCTGCGCTTGCACAAATGAAGCTGGAAGTTGAAAGTCTTGGCCGAGATTACGGAGAAACTCGATTAAGGAAGTCTCCTGTCAAACCTGCTAGTTCTCATTACTCTACGGTGCCTGATTTCTCCCTGGAGAATATACAGAAACTCCAGAAAGATAATGAATTTCTTACAGAGCGCTTATTGACAATGGAAGAAGAAACAAAGATGCTGAAAGAAGCTTTGGCAAAACGAAACAGTGAATTGCAGGCTTCAAGGAGTATGTGTGCTAAAACACTTAGCAAACTTCAAACTTTGGAAGCACAAGTTCAGCCAAGTATTCATCAGAAGGGATCTCCAACATCTACCACTCATATGAACCATGAAAGCATTTACAGCCAAAATACAGGCTATGCACCAAGCATGATCTCCATATCGGAAGATGGCAATGATGATGCAAGAAGTTGTGCTGAGTCTTGGTCTACGGCATTAATCTCTGAGCTATCCCAATTCACAAAGGAAAAGAATGCCGATGAATTGGGAAAATCTGAAGAGACTGAGAAGTTGGAACTGATGGATGACTTCCTAGAGGTCGAGAAATTTGCTGGATTATCGAACGATTCTATTGAAGATGCTTCTACGTCATTCACATCAAACAATAACAAGGATGAAATCATGACCAATGAAGTATCCAAAGTTGGTACTAGCAAAGATGATCCCTCCGAGTCTGAAAAGAACAGTGATTTAAATCCATTGGCAATTCAAGTGTCCCCTGCTGCAGTATCACCCAGTTCTGGTGGGATAGATGGCTTATCACCAGCAGAACTTCAATCAAGAATACAATCAGTTTTTGAGTCTGTGGCTAAGGATGCTGATGTGGGTCAGATCCTGAAGGATATTAAACATCTTCTTGAAGACGCACGTGTTCTTGAAGACGCACATGATACATCCATCCAAGACTCTGCTGCTGTCACTCCCCACGATGTCCCGCCTTCTGATATTCCATGTGATAAAAAGGATAATTCTGAAGATGCTGGTTCAGTTGCAGAAAAAGAACTCATTTCATCCCAAGAACCTACTCAATATATACAAATAACTTCTGACATAGAAGCTGCAATTTCTCAAATTCATGACTTCGTATTGTTCCTAGACAGAGAAGCAATGACAGTTCATGACATATCTTCTGGTGGTGATGGGATAAGCCAAAAGATGGAGGAGTTCTCTGTTACTTACAATAAAGTCAAATGCCATGAAGCAAGTTTGCTGCAGTTTGTTCTTGATCTGTCTCAAGTCTTGGCTAAAACAAGTGAATTCAGATTTAATATCCTTGGTTATAAAGGTATGGAAGCTGAAACTAACAGTCCTGATTGCATAGATAAGATTGCTCTGCCTGAAAATAAGTTAGTTCAAGACACTTCGTCGGAAGAGAGATATCAAAATGGCGATTCCCATATTCTTAATCCCTGTTCTAATCCCGAGGTTCCTGATGATGGAAATTTGACCTCAAGCTATGAATCAAATGCCACATCACAAAAGTTCTCCATGGAGGAATTTGAGGAATTGAAATTAGAGAAAGAGAAGGCAATTGTGGATCTGTCGAAATATTCGGAAAATCTTGAAATGACAAAGTCTCAGTTGCAAGAGACGGAACAACTTCTAGCTGAAGCTAAATCACAACTGGCTTCTGCTCAAAGGTCAAACAGCTTAGGTGAGACTCAACTGAAATGCATGGCAGAGTCATACAGATCACTTGAAACACGTGCACAAGAGTTTGAGACTGAACTCAACCATCTGAGAAAGAAGATAGAAACTCTTGAGAACGAACTTAAAGGTGAAAAGAGATCTCATGAAGCAACTTTGGCAAAGTGCAAGGAGCTAGAAGAACAATTGCAAAGGTTAGACATCCATTCAGTATCATATAGTTTGTAAGTACTGTTATACGCATATTCTGCGTAGTCCATTCCTACTTGCAGGTCTGTTCGTAGCAGTGGTATTCATATTGGTTTGTGTAAGAAATTATAGGATTAATAGCATCATTATGTGTATTTAATTTCCTGCTAACATTAATTTACTGCGCTGGTTCTATTTCTAATTTCTTTGTTACTTTGTCTATTAGGAATGAGAGTTCAGCTGCTGACAATGAACTTAAGACTAAAAAGGTAAAGCTCTAATTCCATTAAAATAGATAAGCCATGCTGGATTTAATTCTGTTTATGATCTGGTCATAGTTAAAATGTCATAATCTGTATCATACTCGAGGAATAGTTTTTACAGGTAGAAAATCTAAGATTGAATTATTTTCTTTATCATAGGAGAGAGACTTGGCTTCTGCTGCTGAAAAGCTAGCTGAGTGTCAAGAAACAATATATCTTCTTGGCAAGCAGCTAAAAGCTATGCATCCTCCTCAAACAGAACCAGTGGGATCTCCATATGGTGAGAGGCTTTCGAAGGTTGAAGGTTTTGCAGAGCATGAAGTTCAGAGCCCAAATATGCAGGATCTGGAACAAGTTGAGATGGACGGTGCTAGTTTTGCCTTTATGCAAAGACAGGGTGCAGAGTCCCCTTTGCATTTTACTAACAGTTTATATAGTCCATCAGATAATGACTCAAACTTTCAAGCCATATCTCCTTTACCGCCACCAAATCACAAGCCTTCAAAGTCAACCTCTTCCTCAGCTTCTTCCACTCCCACACCAGAGAAACATGGCCGGGGTTTTAGTAGATTCTTTTCATCAAAAGCAAAAGTCGGCCATTAAGTGTTTGCAGCATACAGGACCCGGGTAATTCATGATTTGAAGCTACATAGTAATGACACTTGGACATTGCCAGGTTGCAAACCCTTTCGTGATTTAACGAAATTGAGCTTTACGGGAGGTTTGTGTAGTTAAAGGAGAGGATGTCATGAATGCCTGGTAATGGCATTCTTGTATCTAATGGTTTGTACATGGTAACCATATAGTATGTTTTATTCTTTTTCCTTTTTATTGTTTCCCCCAGGTTTTGTAAACATTGACATAGTCTCTGCAATATTACAGGATATGGTGCATTTCAGAATTTATGATTAATTATGGATTTTTTTAAATAACCAGTGTGATAAATGACAAATTTCATCAAAAGGGTGTGGGTAATATCTTTTTCTTTCTTACTTCCAAATGGTCTTAAGCTCGAGAAATAGAAGAAATTAACATGTCATCCTCTAAATTAAATATGTCATCCTTTAATTTTATTTATTCCAGTTTTGTCTTTGATGAGATACAGAAATTGGATGAAATTTCTGGAAGAAGGGATGAATTTCTGGTACAAAATAAATTTCCGGTACAACCCTACTAAATTTTCGGTAAGAGTAAATTTTCGGTAGTGCATTTGAAATTTTTGGTAAATCGGAATTTTCAAATTTACGTATTGAAAATTTGAATTATACTGAAATTCCCGATAGGTTATGTACTCATGTTCAACGATCGAGATTTTGTCGACATATTTGGAGGATTCTGATTGCAGCGACACATTTGTGTGGTCTAAAATGTATCACTATTTGTATAAATAGGGGTTTCAGGTTATATGGTAAGACATCTCAAAAAAATGTCTTTTTCTGAGCATCTGATTAATGCAGAAGTGTATTACAACGAGTGCAACTCTGCTGTTGAATTTAAGATTTCAGATGGCTCTAATTCTCTTACCACCTTGAAAGAAACATTGAATGATTTGTTGCCTGATTTCGATAACAGAAGGGTGGCAAAGGTCGAGTTTTAGGAGGATTGAATTAATACAAATGGAAGGGTAAAATACAACCTAATCGAGTTGAAGAATGATTCAGATGTGAAGCCCATGTGGAAATCATTTCACCATAGGATAACTAAAGGTCTGATCGAGTTGGATGCGGAGATCCGAAGATCCGTCGACGAAATAATGAAGATGCTGAAACGTCAAGAGTCATCCGGTAGTGTCTAGGTTTTCATGTATAGTTGTTTTAAGGTTGTGTTTGTTGTACTATGATATGTTATGTTGATCATCGAATCGAAACATGTCATCGCCAAAAGATTATGCAATAAATAAGATGTATGTGTGTCACAAAATATACATATAATACAACCATAATAAAATTAATCTACACAACCCCTCAATGGACTATGTCGGCTAACCTAATTAAATCTGTATAGCCCTTACCATCAGGGTTTACCAAACCCATGAGGCTATCTAAATGAACAGTGATGAACTGTAAGCGACTGTCCTAATCACCTGCGGGAGGTGAAGGTGGTGGTGGTGGCTCGGCAGAAACTCTGGCACGTGAAGGCCCCAAAACATCAGATGCTGCAGTCGATGGTATGAATCAAGGGTGTGACACACTGTGAAACCAATCCAGGTATCCATCCTCTCATTGCTCAGGATGCTGAACCTCAACGGTTGTATCCATGATCTCACGGGGGGAGCTGAGGATGTGACTCTGAAACCTTCTATCAATGCCGCTGGCTGAAGTCTCTGGAACTGGACGAGAGATGTCCTGCACATAACCATACTAGCGTAGACACCTCTCAGACAAGTGTCTAGCCACATGCTTCTCCCATCTAATATGCCATAAATACAAAATAGACACCTCAAATGGACGATGAGGGACATGAGATGTATATGGTGTCCAAACGACATCCTCTACCGTGCATGTAGCCTCCTTCTATACTCCATCAAATCTCCTGGATGGGCTTGCTTGCCCTTCCATCTTCTCGCACATGGAATGTAAGTCAGTACACGCTGGATCTTCCGCTCACAGATGTGAGAGAAGTGCTCATATAATAAAAACCATCAAATACATACACCCAAATAACTAATAAAAACCATCAAATAAAATCTAGTGCATCTGTAACCGGCTAAGGTAACTGTTATGACTGATTTTTAAATCAAGAGTCACCACTATTAATTTTTATCCTAAGGGAAGAGAATCTAACAGAAAACCCTAATTCACAGAGATTCCAGGTTTCATACTCAATTAGACGAAAGGAAGGTGTTAGACACCTTTCATCTACCTTGTTCACAAGGATACTCGGTTCTAGGTTTGAGTTTGGGGTAAACAGGATTTTAAGTTTTAATTAGAAAGACTCGCCACGATTTTTGAACGTATGCCTACGTATCCTCTTATAAGGAATCAGAGTCCCAATTCGTAGTTCGTATGAGGTTGGTATTTTTTAGGGATTTGCAAATATATTTTGAATCACCTCGCACTTGACCGGGAATAGTGATTGCGGAGATTTTGACTAAATGCGCAGTAAGGCAAAACCTGTTTGAATCCCTTTTACAAAAAAACAGTTGTCTAGATTAATTTGTTTGTGAAAAAATAGTTTGATGTTTGTTAGTGTTTTTTATCGTGTTAATTGCAAAGATCTTGATTAATGCATGATTAAAAAAATATTTAATGCAAATAATATATAAAATAAAATATGTAATTTTAATATAAAAATAATTTATTTGTTAGTATATAAATAATAATGTAATTATTTATAAGCAATAAGCAATATTTACATAGCAAATAAAATATAAGAATAGTAAATAATAATAATAATAATAATAACAAATATAATAATTATGATATTATAATAATAATAAAAAATCAATATTTGATAATAATAATAATATAATTATTGTAAATAAATAATATATATGTATATTTATAAAAAATTAAAAATAGTAATTGAATTATAAAAGAAAATAAATAAATTAAATAAAAGGGGGTGTAATCTCTAACTGACAAGTAAAACAGGGGGTGCTATAATTAGGACTTTGGCTGGGCCCCAGATACAGTTCAGACAGGGGGGTGCATGTTCTTTTGTGGTTTAGCAAAATAGCAGAAAGGAGGGTGTGAAAAGGAATGGGCCTGACCCATTACGTAAACTTGAAGGATCCAGGCTGATTATGTGCGCGAGGATGCACGCTACTATGGTGCAGACTTGGCCTATGGCCGTCTGATCAAGATCAAATGGATGATGTTGATGGTGCATGATTATTATCGTGTATGCGCACGTGTACTGGAGATGATAACATACAAGTAGTGAGATAGCCGGCTTTGGTGCAGTCTGAAGTTGGTTGATACTCGATACTACGCTCATTGAGATTGGACTTTCGGGATAATTTGCTTGCCGATAAAGAGGCTTGCGCTGAAACAATTCCCGATGAAGAAAGATCGGTGATATTGAGATCCCCTAGAACCCGGTTACTATTACTAGGCAGGTTGGACCAACTAAACTTCAAGAGGGTACTTACCTACGAACCCCATGCAAGCCTAAACCTAAGGATTTGTCTGCTTTGTGTATATATGACTATTTGTACATAACAACTTGCTTGCTTTGCATACTTGTACATAACATCATAGCATCATACCATAGCATTTTCAATAACCATTTCAAGGATCTCAAGGGCCTATGATGCAGGTTCACGTTGAACCAGACGTCTATCAAGGGGCAAGAGGATTTATTTTCCTCTAACCAAATGCCGTCAAGACCAAAGCACGGTAACTTGAGTCAAGGTCTATGACCCACTTGACATGGTGAGCTTGATTCTCGTGGAAGGACATCCACCGATACTAAGTTCTCCAATCAAAGTTATTGATCAACGTTCAAATTCTAACATCTTCTTGTACTTATCCCGCGAGATCATTGAAAACATTGCATCCACATATCATGCATGTCATCATAACAGGTTTTCCCGTACAGGATTTCTCATATGCTTGCTGTTTATTTCAGTAAGAGATGGCTCTAGAGCAAACAGTTAAAGATCTCCAAGCTCAAAACGCTCAGTTCCAACAAGCGCTCATGAACTTGGCCAAGGGGCAGGAAGATCTGAAAACACTTTTCACCAAGGAGAGCAAGAAGAAGAAAAAGTCTGTCATCCTCAACGTGAGGAGAAGGTCCAAGGGACATGCCCAACTAGCTTAAAAATAAGATGTTTCTTCTAAAGAAGAAGACAATCAAGAAAAGGAAGCTAGAAGCATTAGAGCTAACATAGCTACTGATGACGATGATTCTTCTGAGGATCAGTATCCATCGGCGGATGAAAAATACAAATAACTTGAAGACAAACTAAAAGTTGTGGAGGTCCAAGTTGTGTCTGGCTTGAACTTAGGAGACATGGGTTTGGTTTCTGGAGTGGTCATCCCACCAAAATTCAAAATCCCTACCTTTTCCCCGTACGATGGAGTCTTTTTCCCTAAGATGCACCTAAAGTCTTATGTCCGCAAGATTCAACCATACACAACTGATCAGAAGCTTTGGATCCACTTCTTCCAAGAGAGTTTAGCTGGGACGCAACTTGAGTGGTTCTATCAATTGGAGAGTTCCCACATTAACACTTGGGAAGATATAGCTGTTGCTTTTTACAAGCAGTATCAATACAATGCTGATCTTGCACCAACTCGTGTGCAATTGTAGAATATGGCCATGCGTTCCAACGAGGGCTTCAAAGAATACGCCCAAAAGTGGAGAGACTTGGCTGGCAGGGTGCAACCACCCTTAACTGACAGAGAGCTGATTGACATTTTTATGGGAACTTTGACGAGACCTTTCTTCAATCACCTAATCAGAAGCTCCTCAGTCGGGTTCACCGAAATAATACTAATGGGCAAAAGGGTCAAAGTTGGCATCAAAAGCGGTAAAATCCAATAGGGTGCATCTTCGAGTACAGGGAAACAACCTTTCATTGGGAAGAAAGAGTATGATGCTGCGTACGGTCAAAAAGGTCGTAACCAGGATAACCATGACCAGCACGTGGGGGCAGT